ATTTTGTACTTCTGGTAAGTTGCACCATTTTGAATCCTGAAGGCAAATAACAAGCTGATTAGTAAAGGTAATAAAGCAATGTATTCTACTGACAAGTAGAATTAAGGAGTGCAATATCCAATTTGATCAATTGCCATTTAAGAACATTAACACTTCATACAGTTATGCTACCCAAATAGTATGCATAACAAAACTTTAACATAGATGCATGCCTTTGTTGCATGAGTGATTTAACATGATGCTTCACTGTATTGTTCAACCAGGAAGTTTAAATACATAATTTTAAGGGAAATAATATTCAACTTTTTATGTTTTATTAATTCTAGCTTTTATGGCACTTTTGTAGGTTCTGAGTGCCTTTTTTCTAAATGGTGTTTCTTACTACACAGGAAGGAAATATGCAAGCAGGGTAACCTATTTTTACTGTACATTTTTCTACTTCCAGTGGGAGTAAAAAACAACCTTCTGGATCTAGAAATAGGATGCTGCTGTAGGTCAGAGGTAGGCAGAAGGTGTATCAGGATGATTTGCACTAGCTCAGCAGTTTCTGACACCCAATGGCTTAGCAATAGCAACAACTAACTCCCACCTCCCTGTAAGACTGTTCCAAAAAAGTAAGCTTCAGCGGAAACCAGTCTGAACCCAGTGTGTTAAAGGATTACAAACATTGTTTCAATCAAACAAATACTTGGGCTGAGCATATACTCAGAGGCTATGTGGTCCTTAAGTCTGTGGAATCCTTAAGTTTCAGGAGATCATTTTGTGGCTAAGCTATGTTGCTGTTCCTGTCTTTCTGTGAGCTGCCCAGAAAGCCCTTGGGCTATGGGGAGGCATACAAATACAATAAATTAGAATTAGTATGTGAATATATTTTACCTTTCTATGCATATAAAGCACTTAAGAAACACTTCCATATACACTACGACATCTTAAAAGCAATGCACTACTGTAATACAAGCCAGAGAAGGCAATGTTCACTGCACAAGACCTGGAATACACTGACTTGGATATGCTCGAGCTGACAACCAACCAACCTCATGGAACCTTTTCATGAGCATAAAACCAGTTCTCATGTTCATTACTACAAACTGTTTGTCTTTAACTCAAATTTTAAAATTAATAGGCCTTATGGCAGTTCATTTCTAAGTATAGATGTTTGTCACTCGGATATTCACAAGCCAGAGACTTACAGTAACCAAGCAGAGATTTAGATAATATAAGGATAAAGAAAGCCCCCATGGTCTGTATGGCTGTGATTTTATAGGTGCTACAAAGAATAAAAATAGGCAATTAAGAAATTACAATTCACTGTATCAGTGATAAATTGTTAGGAAACACTGGTGATGCATATACAAACAAAATTGGAACAACTCAAGTTCAAATAAATTAAATGTAATTAAAGTGACCTACATGTCAGCCTTTCCTTACTAGCTAACCTGATGCTTTGACAGCATAGTTTAAAACCTGTGACTAATTATTCACACTAAAGTTATTTTTTTACTCTATTATGCCTATCACTACATTCATGATGACATAAACATTTAAGATCAATTTTTCCATGAAATGTATATATCAAATTAAAGTGTAAGATATAGTTTCCAGGCAGTTAAATTATATGGTCTACCTAGGCTGCAATACTAAACCCACTCTGTTGGAAATATTTTAATTCTAGAGTTGGATCTAGACAGAGGTGCACGCTAGCCTGATGGGACCAGACTTTTTATCCCTCTCTTCCAACGGAAACTCCACCTGCCTCAAGCACATTGCATGCAGAGGACTGGTGTGTAATGTTGAATGAAATGCTTGTGGTGTGGATGGAAGGGGAAGCCAAAAAAAAGGAACAGAGGCACTTCCTGTGAGTGGATGCCTATTTTACCCCTGCACTATAACCTAGCCCATTCAGCAGGTCCCTTGATTTTGTATAGGATTTCCAATGGGGACTGAAGGGTCTTCCATAGAGGGGTCTTCTTACACCAACCCAATTGCATATGCCTAAATTTGGATCCAGTGCATAACTAGTATCCAAGAAAAACTTTGGCAAGACTTATGGGTACCCAGTAGGATTTTTCCCCCTTGAACAACAGATTCTCCATGCTTTACCAAAAAGCATTGGAAATGCCACTCACTTTCCATGCCAGTTTGCCACTCTGTTGTAGGAGACTCCCACTCAAGAAATCCAACCTGATATGCCCCTTGGGTGCAATAAGTGGGTAGCAAAATTTTAAGGATCATGGCCAATATGTTTAGGAACAAAGTAATTGTAATAACTACAATGATGTAATTACACTGAGGTAATTATTGCAGATAAAAATAGAGAAGTTGTTTAGTTTTATGTCCTCTCCTCTCACAAAGATTCAGGGCATAAGTAGTATCATCCTGGATCACATGAAGATTTCATAGTCTAGCATTCTGCCCTCACACTGGCCAACCAGTTGACCACTGAAAATTCAGAGGAGGACATCAGTGCAATGGCATCCTCTGCCCATGTTCAGCAAATACGGTACATGGGCAAAGGCAATCCTCACTGGGTTGCTGTTGTGGGCATAAGATTGAGAGCAAGATAATATTGTAAGTCGCTTTGAGTTCATTGTAAGAAAAAAGTGGGATATAAATCTAATAAACAGGCATACGGCTTCTGATACAAGTAGTAGTGGATAGCCAGCAAGACTTGTGCAATCTCCTTTTAAATGAGTGGCTATCATTACATCTTTCAGTAGTGAATTCCATAGTTTACTTACATGCAGTCTAAAGCAGCACTTCCTTGTATCTGTCCTCTATCTCCGAACAATTGATTTAACGAGATGACCCCAGCTTCCAATATTATCAAAGGAGAATAAAAATGTCTCCCTATCCACCTTCTCCACACCATGCACAAGTGTTTATACCTCTATCATGTCTTCCCTCACTGGCCTTTTTGCTTAAGATAAACAGCCTTGGATGTTATAAGTTTTCCTCATAGAGGAGTTGCTCCAGGCTTCTGATCATTTTAGCTGCCTTTTTCTACACTTTTTCCAACTGACAATCCTTTCTTAGCTGTGGTGACCAGAACTGTAAATACTATTTCAATTGCAGTTGTACCAAAAATTTGTAACAGATAACAAAAATTTAAAATAATCTGAAAAATTTGGTATAAATTTAATCAAATTAAGCAGCGTTAGATCAATCTGTCCCAACTTAACTCTGATTGCAAAAGCTAGTCTTATAATATTTATAATTTTATTCCCTAAAATACGTGGCCTTCAGTAAGCCTTGGTTGAAGGCAGTCACCAAGGAATCTCATATGCTAGGTAACTGAACTTGACAGAGATGGTATCACAAAGATGGCATACACATTACCAGAGCATGAAAGAAGGAACATCTAAGAGATGTTGCACATAAACTGTTTACTAATTACTATGTTACATAATCACATTTATTTAACTTCCATATGGTCCAACAGCAAAAGTTCTCTAAGCAGTTTAAAACAATCCATTAAAACAGAGTCTAAAATGCACTACAATATAATTAGAGGAAAGGATGCCATGTACAAAATGTAAAACCACATTTAAAACACCACATTTAAATAAAATGCTGATAACTTTAGGAACATAAAACATGACTAAACCTGGATTAAAAACCTAACAAAGACCCAACTAATTAAATGCTCTGAATAGAAGAAAGTCTGATCTGGTGCTGAAAAGACAGTAAGTGTGGCACCGGGAGAGCCTGAATGGAGAGGTCATTTCTTAATTGGGAGCAGGGGGGCCCTAAAAAGACTCTTCTTGTTTTCACCAACTGAGCCTCCCTTGGAAGTGGCAGTCAGAGGCAGGCCCCAGAACTTGATCATAGTGTCTGCGTAGATGGTGGTTGAAACTCGTGTTCCATCAGGTATCGTGGTCCCACACGAGGGTCTTAGAGCTTAAAACCAGCACCTTGAATTGTGCTCAGAAACATAGCCAGTGCAAGTCGGCCAGAATTGGTATTATATGATCAGACCATCTGGTTCCTATTATTAGTCTGGCTGCCACATTTTGCACAAACTGCAGCTTCTAAATAGTCTTCAAGGGCAGCCTCATACAGACAGCATTGCAGTAATCTATTTTAGAAATTACCAGAGCACAATTCACTGAGAGAAGGCTCTCTGTCCAGATAGGCGCATAGCTAAGCCACCAGCCAGAGCTGGTAGACAGCACTCCGAGCCACTGAAGCCACCTGAGGCTCAAGTGACAAAGATGGCTCAAGGAACACCCCCAAGCTACAAACCTGTTCCTTCAAGGGGAGCAAAACCCCATTTAGAATAGGTTGGATTCCTTCTACCTGGGCAAAAGAACCACCCACTCATAGTATCTCAGTATTGTCTGGATTGAGCTTTAGTGTGCTAGGCTTCATCAAGTACATTGTCATAGCCAGGTACAGGCTTAGTATATCCACAGCTTCACCTGCTGATAATGAAAAGGAGCAATAGAACTGTGTGCCATCAACATAATGACGACAACACACTCCAAAACTCTCACTCAGCAGTTTTATGTAAACATTGAATAGCATGGAGTCCCAAGCATATCCCCAACACCTGAGGAGTCCCAAGCATATCCCCAAGTACCACCTTCTGGAACCATCCCTACAGGAACAGTTCCCCTCACTCGCAAATCAGTCATCTCAAAAAGATACCACGGCCAATGATACTGAAAGCTGCCAAGAGGTTCAGGATTACTAATAGGGTTGGACTCTCCATCTCTCTGCCGTCATAGGTTATCATGCAGGGTACACAAATCTGTTTCTGCACCAAAACCAAGCCTGAATCCCAACTGAAATGGATCCAGATAATCAGTCTCATCCAAGGATGCCCAAAGCTGGCTGGCCACCACCCATGCAAGAATCTTGCCCAGGAAGGGGATGCTTACCACTGGCCTAAAATTGTGTACTTCTAGGTCTTTGGGGAAGGAGGTCTTCACATCTATAATTAATTCCAATTAAATTATATCACACCACATTAGACAGTGTTGTGATTTTATAATACTTACCCCATGCTCTTTGGCAGCCATAACTACTTTAAAAAGAATTTCTTCCTCTACAAATGGTCTCACAGCATCATGGATTACTACTACTTCTGGTTTCTGGAGTGGGGGACTGAGATGGTTGCTCTTTACAAATATGTCCAGTCCATTGAAGATTGATCTATGACGAGTAATTCCACCTTCAACTACTGTGGTCCGCTTGTGCTCATATTTTTTTATGATAGACTTCATTATTTCAACATTCTCTGGGGATACCACCACAACGATATCAGATATCCAGCTGATTCTATAAGGCATTAGAGAAAATAAATTTATGCACATGTGTAAACATTCCTGGGACTCAGCTAGTATTTAAAGTTTGTTCTAACTATAAATGAAGTGTTTATTAACAAAAGTATCTTGCAGAGTTTCTATTAGCTATACTTATTTGCTTTTTCAATGACCAGTGGGGGGAAGGGAAAAAAAGCAAGCATTTATCTGTACAGAGCAGCAGTGAGTACTGTTTTAAACCCAACAAAAATGGCTACATTGATTCTAGTCCTGTGACTAGAATTTATTCACAAATGGGCATAGGAAATAATGGGCTGGATCCAAACTTACAGAAGACCCTTCAAAATAATGACTAGTTTATTTCTATAAATATACCATAAGTGTAACAAAGTCTGGATCCAACCAATGATTTCATATATGATTTGGGATCCAATATGGTTATCACCTGAAAGAGAAGAAAACACAGATGGGGAATGAAAAGGTCTAGGACAGAATAAGGACCAGTAGCACTTTTCCTTGGCCTTATTCTCCAGGAAGAAAGCTGAAACTGCTGAATTTCATCTATGTTTGACAATGTCCTGTAAATGCTTTCTGGGGAAAGAAGTTATTATACAGATAGATTTTACTTCCTGATGTTATGTACTCATTTCCAATTATTTACTTACCCCAATCCTACTGCTAATTTCTGACCACGCTGAAGTCCCCAAAACATCCACTAAAAGATGATATACAATGAAGCACTGCCCCAGTTATTTAGTTTTGCTTAAAATGCATCACAAACTATACATGCTTTTAGATGACAGTCTATTTCTTAACTGCAGCCAAGTGGAAAATTCATGTTTTCTATTAAGACATGTTAGTTAAGCTTGGGAAAGGAGATCAAAAGACAAAACATCCCACTCTCTCAAATAATTTAACATTTCTTTTGTTCACTATATTTCAGAGTTCTTCAAACTGTGGTCTACAGACCATTCACGTAGCAGTAATATCCATTCAAGTAGCCTGTAGATAACCATACTGCTTCTGTACTTGGGAGGTAAGAATACCAAATCTGAGCTGAGGCTAAAGCTGACATACTTTACGTCCTACATCACAGAACTGTGCAAATCCCTCGCATTATACACCCAAGACTATACTTATTTTACTTATGTGCTTTGATTATGTGCTTTGATTTGTGGAAGAAATGGTTGTTTCAAGCAGTCCACAGGGGATGGAGAAGTTTGAGAACCACTGCTACGGTTTATTTCTCTTCCTCAAAATGTCTAAACTTGTAAAAAGAAAGGCAAACTACTATGGAAATTCAATAATTAACTTTATCAAGACAACCTGAGACATCTTTATTCAACCTAGAAAAGAAACAAGAGTAGTATTCAAAAAGTTGCTGGAATCACCCTTAGCCTACTGCTAAGCAGACTTCATCAAAACAAATATCACAAAACTAATCATAGATAAGGATTCCTCTATAAGAAAAAAGATTTTGGAACATTATCAAACTTTGTGCTACAATGTGCAATTAATGCTTTCCAGATTACCCTTATTTTAGATGTAAGATCTCAAAAAAAAAAAAAAAGATACATTGCATGGTACTACTGATGGATAGGGAATAGTTGATTTTCTCAGCTGAAGGCATTTTTATATATGGATAGGGAATAGGTCGTGCCAGATCAGAGCAAGATGCCACCAATCAATGATTCCAATGGAAAAGAAGGTCTGCAATTAGAAGATACTGGAAAGAGGCCACAAATGATGGGGGTGTTCTTTTCATGTGTTTTCTGAGAAGGGTACTAGCTGCTGATGAGACACAGAGACTGAGGCAGAAACCAATTAAATTGTTAGCATGACACAGTACAAAGTGCTGCCAAAGCTCAAAGACACAATAATCCTTTGGCATCTGTAAAGAATGAAAGCAACCCACCCAGGATGGGGTCAGAGAAGGTTTCTTGGGAAAAGGAAAATGTGGATGGAACAGGAGAGATCGAAAGTGGCACAGATGAGGATTAAGAGTCCAGAGGAAGACAATAAGGTGAGGGCAATGACAATGGAAGTTTACCATCCCATACATATACCCTGCAGTATGCAGAAGCTAATGATACAAGATTCTGGAGAATTATAGAACATGGATAAGCATAACCACCATGACCACTTAACTCTGTGTGAGGATATGGGGGCTAATCTCCTGCTCTGGCATCTTGAAGGGTTTCACACAGTTTAATATATGAATGGTAGTTTTGATCCTTTTTAAGCAACATTGTTTTGACTAAGCAACTGTCCTGAGTAATTTCTATCTTTTAATAGAATTCAAGTTCACTTCTGCTCAAGTGTGAAAACTTTGGTCTGTAGTTCAGTCTAACATGAGAACTGGATCTCTCACTTTCTCTGCTCTAACAAGCCCAAGGCCCAGGTTTGTACATCATGCTAAACCATGAACTAAAGTTTAGTAGTAGCGTTTAGTAGCTTCTACTGCTAAGAATGAGTGAAGCATATTATTTGTACAAAAGAAAGCAGAGTTCCCTATGCTGACGTTGCCCACTTTAAAACATTGTTCTGAAAGCTAATGAGCACAACCATTTGTTGTAAACCATCCCGAGGTGTCTAAGTATGGGACAGTATAGACAAGTTTTAAATTAATTAATTAAACAAACCATTCCTGCATTTAACTGTCCTAACATGGCTTACATAGCAGTGCATAACATATTAAACTACCAGCCCGATTATCCAGGCAACCCAACTGACAAGGTTCATTCAGTTAGGGAAGGAAAAGAAGTCATAGTTACTGTGCATGCAAGTCATTTCCATAATTACTCAGTATGCATACAGCTTATACAGCTAGTATGCATACTGTTATCTGGATCCATCAGAATGTACAGCTTGCAATCCATGGTTTGTTCTAGAATTCCAGGGTGGTTAGGACACCACCCTCACTAAGTCTGGACAACACCACAACCCACACACAGCACACACAATTATGGAAATGAGGCTGCACAAAACTAACAGACACTGACACATAAAGGACACCAGTGTGGCTTCATTCACTCAAACCAAACATAAACAAGGACGTGTGGCCTTGCAGAGCAGTCATGCAATTGTCCTCAGTAAAGCATGCCAAGGTGGAAAGAACAACATGGAAAATTAATGTAATTATTATTTACTATCATTTAATAGTAAATGATAGCCAAATAGCCAAAGCTCTCTAAGCAAACAAGGCAAGTGAGCTGTCAAACTGTGGCATGCAATGTCTTCTATTTAAGTACCACTTAACCTGAGATAATGTTATTTCAGATTCAGCCCTGGACTGCAATTTCAGTTTGAGTATCAGGTTTAGAGTAGTCTTTCAGTATTCTTCTAGACACCCACAGCTACAGCCAGAATGCATCTCATCCAGAAGTGCAGGAACCAAATTTACAAGTATTTGCTAGGTGTTGTCTATGACGAGGCTCCTTCTATCATTTTTGTTCCATCTTTCTCTTTCCCTTCATGTATCCACAACTTCTCCCCTTCTTTTCATCACACACTCTTACCATCCCATCCCCACACTTCTATCCTTAATCTCAGATTTCTATCATTTTTTTTTAATTTCCATGCACTCACCAGAACTAATTTACTAACATTGTTAAAAGCTCACTCTTGCAGTTAGACACTGACAAAAAGTGTGTGTGTGTGTTTTTTCCTGTGTGCAATTTATGAACTTGAGAAAGGTTGACCATAGCTTTTTGATTTAATATAGGTAAGTTAAAAGCTTACTTTGGTTCATCTTGCCTTTTGAATGACACTGAAAATTTGTCATAAAGAATTCTGTACAGCTTAAACAGATGTATTTTGTTGTAACTCAAACAGGTAATAAATACATTGAGTCAGACCACTGATCTATTCTAACCCAGCATACACTGATTATTATTCGCATGAGAAATCCAGGAGTTCAGACAAAGGATTTCCAGCCCTACTTGGATATGCCAGGGATTGAATTTAAAATCTTTCTGAATGCAAAACCATCTGTTCTACTACTGAGGCATGCTCTAGTGCATTATCTTCCTTACAATGCTTGTTTCCCTTATTGCCTAAGAACTCTACAAGATTAAGAGCTGAAATGTGAAATTCCTAGAGATACAAATGGCTGTTTTTATTGATAGCTGCATAGTCAAAGTTACTATATTTCTACAACCTAAAATTATAGCCCAGTGCACCGCAGGATTAGGAAATCCCATTAATCTAAATTGGATTAGGAGTAACTAAGTGAATAGTATCAAGGTCCAAGGCTGCAATTCTAAACACACAAGCATAGAATAAGCATTGCTGAATTCAGTAGATATCCAACTGAGCATGTTTTAAGATCATGCTTAAGCTTGTTATGGATCATAAGTCTATAGTGGTAGGTATAATGTTCTTCTGAATGTTCTCTTAATCACTAATTATCCTTAATGAGCTTCAAAGACAAGTCTTCCCAGCTGAAATACATGGGGTTTGCAGGCAGACTTAGGCTTGTTAAAACATTCAGTGTAGACTGTGCAAGCAGATGATTAGATGAAATCCTAAACTCACTTAGCCAAAAAAAGGTCGTACAATTTCCAATATTCTCCAGCCATTCTCCAACATGGCTAGCTAAGATATAGTGGAAGCTGTAGAGCTTTATTTTCTGAAATCCGAGTCATATACATACTTGTCTAGGACTAAGTCCCATTAAATGCAATAGGGCTTACCTGTAAGGAAACATGCAATGTAATTGCACTATTAGGTTGCAATTCTATGCAAATTTAATTTGAAGTAAACGACACATTCCGTGGGAACACTTCTTTAGTAATCGTGTGCACCATCAGGATTAGGATTGGGTAGAAATCCTAATAAACTTAATGGTTCTCACTCCAAAGTAAGTGTGCACGGAAAATACCTGATCATGTGAATTCTATTATTTTTCCATCTTTTCCCTCTGCAGTAAATGGTTAGCTGACATACTCTAAAAAAAACTCGGCCAGCGCCTAGCTGTATTACAAGCTTACTTTTATTATCATTTTTCTTCTCGTACGGTGGGACACCCCCCCACCCCCACCCAGCCTAGTACCCCGCTGGGATTAGGAATACGAGGCATGGCACCGCAACGAGCAAAGGCGTGCACGGAGCGCGGAACCTCCCTCCGCCAAGCCCGCAAGAGAGTGCGCGCGCATGCGTGGATGAACGGGGAAAGCCGTCGGCCGCAGAACAAAGGCCAGCGTCGCTCACACGACTGCTCTCCCCCGCGACGAGTGGAAGGCAAGGGGGCTGGAAAAGCGGCAGCGGCGGCTTTACCTTTCCATCGCCTGCACCGTGTAGCTAACGAGCGGCCTGCCCAGCAAGGCACAGAACTGCTTCGGGGTGTCGCCGCCCATGCGTTCCCCGCTCCCTGCCGCAGGGAGCACGGCTGCCACCGACACCAGCGGAGCCCGCTCCTGCGGCCCCGCCGTTCCCGCGGCTTCGGGTTTGCCGCCAGCGTTGCCCCCTTTCCCGAGGCTGGACTCCGGTGGCTCCATTGTGGAGGCCGCAACGGCGGGCCCCTCGCTACGCGCGCTGATCAGGGAACCGAGCTCGGTGGGATCCAGTCCAGCCGCGGCCGGCTGCCTGCCTGCCTGCCTGCCTGCCTCGCTGCGGACCTCGAGGCTCTCCGTGAGGCAGAAGGACCGTCCCCCTGGAGCAGCCGCGACCCTGCCTCTTGAGCCAGGCGTTTCCACCGTCCCACACCGCAGGCCGCCCTCTTGGCGAGCCCCGGCACCCTCACACATTTAAAGTCACTTTGGCTGGCCCTTTAAATATTCCCTCCCGGAAATATCCCGTCGGAGGGAGAAAGTCTTGGCTGCTTTTGCGCATGCGCTGCACTCTATCTGACTAGCCGGATAAAAGAGTGAAAGCCTCGTGCTCGCCTCCGGTGCGAATTATTCGCGCTATTTTTTATGTCTTCGTTGCTACTGAAGTCGTAGTTAAAGCAGCCGATTGAAATCAAGGGAACTAAAAGGTTGTTCTGACTGAAGGTCCACTGGTTTCAAAAAGAGGCTACTCTTAATCATGATTAAATCTAGGATACTGAATTTAAGAAAACATGGAGAACCGTTCTGCCAAGCAATGCCTTGCATCGAATGTTGGGTTGGATGGGCGTCTTCAGAAAGAATCTTTATTGTGTGAAGCGTTTTGTGGTTAACACTTTTTAAAAAATCAGTGCTGCTTTTAAAAACAAGATTGATACTGTGGTTTTCTTATTTTTATCTTTTTTATTGTTCATTCCCCTGGAGTATGTTTAGACACGGAATAGTACATAAATGTTGTTTTAAAAAAGACTCTTAACTTGTCCCATTTATTTAAGATCTGATTATGACTACCACTGAAAACAACCTTTTTGCTATGAAATTTTTTCAAGAAATGATTCATTTTGTATGCTGGTTTTGTATGCTGTGTTTTAAAGTCTATTAATTTAATGTAATACCACCAGGTAAGCAGTATACACATTTACATGGTACCCTCAATGGCATTGGAGATCATATACTGGTGCGTTCTTCTGAGTAGATGTATATAAGGGTACACTGAATATACTGTTTTAAATTATGTTTTGTGTATGTATATCTTTCCTGTACTGCAGTATCAATTAAAATGAGGGGTGGGGTGGAGTCAAGGCAACAAGTGAAGCAGTACAGTTAAGCCAAGGAAAAATGAGGAACAAAATAAGCAGTTGAAGCAACACCACCACTCTCAGGTGCATAATCCAAATTTGCCAGGTCAAGTAAGGGCTACACACTGAGTTGAGCTTTACCTCCTGGTTGGGGTCGAAATCTCATGTGTGCAGAATTAATAGCAAAAGACAGCATAATGCAATGGTCAGTGTTGGATTTGGGCTGTGAAAACTCAGACTGACTACTCAGCCATAAAGCTCAGAGTGCTCTTGACTCATCTCTTGTTCAGCATTGTCTCCCTAGCAGGTTTGTGACAAAGTAATGGCAGGCTGGGAATAGAACAGGCATGTATTTTTATTTAAAATATTTATATCCTGCTTCTCCAGTTTAGTGGAGAATATTAGCTTACAGTAACATTCATGTCTGCACATAAATAGGTTGATCGGAGGAGATGCTTTCCAGGCACAGATGAAACCTGAGCTTTTTAATTTTAAAAAGTTACTGGTTTTTTTGGAAGCAGTGCTTAAATGGGTCTCCAAAGAGGCACTAATAAGGCCCAGTATTGGAACGTGAGCTGCCTCTTACCATTTCCCAAGACATATGTTTTGTTAGATTGTTAAAGGAACAAAACCAAAATAATAGAAAAAATACCTTTGTTAGGACCAACTTAAACATCACAAAATAAACTTTGGAGTCAACTACAATGTTTTATTTATTGTGCTTTTAAATTGCCTAATAAAGTTCTCCAGGCAGTGTGTACCACATTAAAAATGCAAGCATCAAAAAGAGCAGCATAAAACCAAGATAAAACCATACTAGCACATAAAATCAAATTAAATGCACCAGCATAAAATATTAAAAGTACTAAAACCAGTTCTTAAAATGCTTGGGAGGACAACATGTTCTTCACTGGAAAGGCCATGAAGTGAGTGCCATGTGAGCCAGTCTGGGGAGAACATTCAACAAATAGCATGCTAGCATTTTCATACCAACCCACCTCCCCTCATTTGCTGGAGCATCTGGAGGGGGCCTTCTGAATATGAGTTCTGGGTACCTTGCTTGCTCAGTGCTTTGTGGTATTTTAAGAGGACCCAAGGAAAGTATTTATCTTTTTCAAGATATTTTCCCAGAATTAATATCTATAGCAGAGACAACATCTTTGGCCTCTGTCAGTATGGCTAGTGGTTGGAAATGATAGGGGTTGTAGTCCAAATGTGATAGTTGAATATTAGCTATGTTCAACATAAAAAGTGAGGCTCTTTCAATGCATGGGCTTCTGTTTCACCCTCAAGCTGAAGCAGCAGAACTCATGGCACTTCCAAGAACTGTAACTGTAACTAGTTCTTTGAGAGGTGCTAGGGTTACTGTTAATTCTGCCAAAAGGCCGTGTTTCCCCAGCAGATGTAAGAATGTTTAAACACAGATATAAACTGTGTTCTGACTTCTTTTTATTCAGTCTTCCATCTACTTTTATTCAATCTTCCATTGTGTCAACTTCCCTGAGTGACTTTGGGCCGGTCACTGACATTCAGCCTAACCTACCTCACAGAGTTGTTGTAAGGATAAAATGGGAGGAGTCATTCTGGCTTCCTTGCAAGAGGAAGAAATACAGGATAAAATGTAATACAACAATCCCATTTTCTCCATTACTTTCGCATATCAAGAGAAATTTAGTCTTTCCACCATAGTGAATGGCACTCTTAAATATTCCATTAAATATGTTTCTCTTACGCAAAGAGTCATAGAATAGTAGAGTTGGAAGAGATGAAAAAAGCCATCAGGTCTGTTGCAGGTCACCAATTTACACCATCCCACTGAGGAGGTTGTCCAGTTCCGTTTTTTAATGCCTCTAGTGTGGGAAAGCCATGGTTCCTCCTATGCATTGTGACAATGAGAAAACTTTTCCTGATATCTAGCAATTGTGTATATAATCTACTGCTGCTGTTTTGAAAAACTAAGGCAGAATTATGGGTTTGAAGAACCTCCCTGCCAGTTTGCTAAAAGTTGCACGTTGCACACACTAGACTGAAAATTAAATAGTTCCTTTTCTAAATTGCTTATCCAGCCTGTGACTACAGTCATCCATGTAGACCAGTTGGACTTCTTTTTGTATAGGGCTGATGCTGCAAATATTTCTTAATACCACAACAATAGCTCACTGAAGCTGCCATACTATGCACATTACTTAAGAGTAAGCCACATTGTACTCAGTGGATCTTTCTTCATAAGAAAATCTACAGTTTCAGTCTGCATCATTACAATGCTATAGGTACATAAAAGCTGCCTTAGTGGCAACGTTATTCCACTTAGCCTATACTGTCAACACTGACTAGCAGCAGTTCTCTAGGGCTTCAGGCCAGAATTTTTCCAAACTTTTTGGGTAAAGTAAACCTGGGTTATTGTACATGTGAAACGTGCCCTCTGCTAATAAGCTACATCCCTTTCTTTTGTTTGCTTATATGAAAGGAATCTCAACAAAATCAGTAGGACTTGTCTTCTGAGTAAAGCTGTGAAATGCATCTGTAAACTTTGAATACCTGGTGAACACTTGAGAGTCAGTTCTACTGAATTTGGGGAAATTGTTTCCAGATAAAAATGTGTAGGACCGGGATCCAGGGATCAGCAATAATATACTACTGAGTTACTTTTGTGTAACAGCAAACTAGGCTAGAGAAGGCCGTGCCATTTTAGAAACAATCTAGTTTTTGGTGGCCTGAGATGTACAGGCACTATCCTGAACTTCATTGGACACAATATTATGCTATTGCTTCAATATTTTGCAGCTGTGCAATTCATAATACTAAAATTAACAGTTATCTTGTTTGTTCATGCTGGAACATATCATACTATAGGATCCAGTTTTTCCTTAAGCAGCATGGTTGGCATGTGCTTATTTGCTCAAATGATTAAATACCTAGACAGAATTCAGTGTAAGCCACGATTAAATCCCATTAAAATAGAACTTAGTCCTGAGTGTCTTTTGGTGGATTGTGCCTGTTTTGTGTAAAACAAAGGATATTGGCAACAAAATGTAACAGTATAGCTTCAGAAGCAAAAAGTAAGGAAAGACTTGAGCCATAAAACCTCTCAGTGTTTTTCTACTGATACACAAGGATGCACATAAATGTGAATTTTAAAGCAAGGAGAGAAAGATAATCTGTGCAAAACATGTATTACTCTTAAAATGTAAATGAAATACTGAATAAACAGACTGCCAGCCCTGAAACTAGCTGGGGCAATATAGAGAGACTTGGAACGGAGATCATCAACAGTGTAAAAGAACAAACAAAATAGACATTATTGAAACACAGCATCAGCATTGTGGACTGATCTACAGGCACAAGTCTTTTTAGAAAGGTGCCACAAAGTGAATACACTCTGAATGATGTAGTATTGTTTGCTAAATAATTACTAGGCAACACAAAACTGCGGTTTCCCTTCCCATTGCACAATTGCAAAAAGTACACATTTGGGAACAAGGAAGAGTTTGTTTCCAGAAAATCATAAGATATGTTTCTAGCTTGTGCCTGGATGGATATGGTTAGGCTCCGGAACAAAGTGAATCCCAACTGCTACACCAAAGGATATCTGTGTTTGGAGTGAGCAACAGATTTTGTTGCAGAAGGTTAAGACAACTGTATTTAGAATCTAGTGCTTGGGTCATTTATTTGGGTCGCGCTGACAAGTGGTGGAATATAGGGACAATATAGAGAATCTTGGGTATTTTCTAGTACAAGCAAGAAACCTGTGTGGTGCCAGAATGTGATCTTGGAATAGTTAGGTTCATTCACTATCAGCAGAGTTTAGGGTTTGTTTCCAGGTCCGTGGTTTAACCAAAACTGGTAAATCTGTCCTTAATACTCTACACCCCACACTGTCATTCTGTTGTGTCTCAAGGCAGTAACT